TAATAATCACCAATCATGAACAGTTTTAGTTTAGAAAGATTTCAATGTAAATGATATTTTATCTGTTTTTTTTTTGGGGGGGGGGTTAAGAGAAAAAAAAGTGAGCATTTTAAAAATGGAATATTCATTGGTTTCTTTTAGTTATAAAAAAAAAAAAAACAAAAAAAAAAACAACCTTGCAGGATGTAGATGTTATATTATATCACTGAAAACAAAAATTTAAAAAAAAAAAAAAAATACAGAAATAAAAAGCAAAGCTAATTCAATGTTGCAACTGAAATTCTTGATTTTGCCACCTGGAGTTCGGAGTGATAAAGACAACATGCAGACCAGAGCAAAAAAAAAAAAGGCCAGAGAACGTTCTGTGAGGAGATTATCCTCAGGCACAGCACACCAATTCAATGACATAAAATGGTTTGGCAGTCAAAGTAGTAAGCACAAGAAATTTCCAGAAACATCATCGATGAATACATTACTATTTCCTACGTCTACTCCAAGAGAGACACTGTCAGAGTCCAGCTCTGTTGATCTGGCACTGCCTAGAAACACACATTAATAAACTCATTCAATAAGCACTCAAATTAGAAAAATATTCAAAGAAATCAAAGGCAAAGATTCTTGCAGGCTGAAAGTAGAGAGGACAAAAATTTGGGACAGAGGTTGGGGATAAACATTGATTTCTTTTTCTTTAAACAATATTTTTCATATACATCAGCATTCAGGGGAGACATTGCATCACTAGTTAAACCATTTATCAGGAATAGGAAAGAAAAGAAAAAAAGAGAAAAAAAGAAAAGATAAGAAAAGAAGAAAAAAAAAAAAAAAAGAAAATGATAAAGTTTTATCCAAGACTTATAATTATTTACAGTATTTATATTTGGACTACTATCCTCATCTTTGTTGCTTTTGACACAGAGTTTCAGCCTCTGTACTCTCCAACCTCCCCAAGGTTTATATTGATCTGGAAAACCTACAGGGAATTCTTAAGTGAACCCTTTATTTAATCTGCAGGAATAGACTGCTCTTGTTCCATTATAATATTTAATCCATGGGTGTAGACTTTTTTTCAAGGCCCAAGAGCCACTCAAGGTAGATGGTCACTGTGTGGTGTTGTATTAGCCTACAGAAGGACAATAGTTAAGAGTACAGAGCTGAAGTAGACTTTAGAAAGAACCAGAATGCAAAAAACAGGAAACAAGGGATAAACTTCTACTCCTGTTCATAAGACATTTTGAACCGTTCTTGTTCTTTGTTCAGTAATTGGTTGCCCATTTTGATGGAGTGCAAGTACATCCAGTGGAAATGGGGGAGCAATAACTGAACAGTACTAAATACGAATAAGAACTAGATGATATCCCTAGACATGAGCAGTGGAATGAGAACAGTCTATCCCCATAGATTAAATAAAGGGTTCAGTTCAGAATTCCCTGTAGGTTACCCAGATTGATATACACTTGAGGAAGGCCAGAGGGCACAACAGCTGAAACAGGATAAAAACAACAATGATGAGGGCAATACTCCAAATGTAAATAATGATAACTCCTCCTCCCAGAAATTCAGACAAAAATTAAACATATAAATCAGTAATAATATATTGTTCAATCACAATAATGATACTTATTTCTTTTAAAGCTATAAATTAATTGTGTCAGTTGGGAATACAAAATCAAAATTATAAATAATTATAAAAAAAAAAAAAATGAAATAAAATGAAACTGATGTAAGAAATGTTATGATTAATCAGAAATCATTCTTTTAGTTACAAAAGAAGTCTTATATATTCTACAAAAAATACTTCCATTTTGAAAAAAAAAAAAAAAAAAAAAACTTACATATAAATAAAAATCATGTTATGTGCAATATTTTAGAAATCAATTTTCATTGGGATGGAAAGGTAAGTTTTTCTGATTACATTTGAACAGTTATTCAGGAAAACAAAAACAATAGAAAAAAGAAACAATATAAAAACGGCGAGATCACAAGGTTGTCACTTAAAAAAAGTAACAATATTTGGAATATAAACCCGAGATGCAAACAAAATACCAAGAAGATGATTTCCTTTTGAAAATCGGGTAAGTTAAAATTTTGACTTGTTGATATTCCTCCAGATTTATTTTCAAATACAAATGGATTTTATTGCCTGTTATTATCCCACGCTTCTTTCATGAAATCAAAAATTTCTAATTAATAAGTAACCTCCCTTGAGTAAACGGTTCGGTTCCAATGAAAACTAAGTGAGAGCTTATTTTATAAATAAATAAATAAATAAATAATAATCTATCTCGAGTTTATTATCCGGATGAACTATCCCACATAAATAACTAACACAAGCGTGAAACTGTCACTTAAGTATAAGTTGATAAAAATAAATAAAATAAAAAAATGCAAACAACTATCGTTTAAAAATAGAGTTATTTGCCCTTAGATAAATTGTGTGTGTATGTGTGTGAAATTCAGATATAACAAAAAATATATATTTTATTAAAAACAATAGACATTT